TCAAAGTTAGTACTTTTAATTGATGACATGTAAATGTGACATGTCAAATTTTCTAAAATAAATGAAATATTTTGATTGGTTGAATTAAAATTAAAGAATTTGTGGAATTAAAACATAAAAACATTAGATTATACTTATAATACTAAAATTAACAAATTTTAAATTAACAGGAAATAATTATTATTATGATTTTAATGTTTTACATATATTCATAATTTTATAAAATATAATTTAAAAATGTTTTCAACAAAATATATATATATATATATATTTCATATGAAATCGAAAAAATAATACTAAATTATACAATAGAATAGTAAAAAATTTATATATTAATAATGTTTATTTTGGAAAGTTATTAATTTACAAAATATAGTAATAAAATCTAAACAAGTTTTAAATAAACAAATTATTAATTAATACAATTTCAAATAAAATACAATAATGATAAAATAATTTAAAGAATAAAATGTTAAAAATAATAAAAAATAACTAAATTTTATTGAATTTTTTTAAAAACACAATTTAAAATAAATTTTATTTTCAAACCAATATTAAATAAATAAATAAAGTATATACTAATTATTATTTTATAATATTAATAGGACCATATATTTTTATAAAACTTTTATCACATTTTTATTGTTGTTTTCTAAAATATACATAATTTATGTTTCCATCTCATCTTATCTCTTATCATATTTTAAATATAAAAAATTATATCATATTTATATATATATTCGTAATTTTTTTTATTGTATATCAAAAATTTGAGATCATAAATGAAATAAAAAATAACCAAACGAAATAATAAATTAAAATAAGATAAAATAAATATGAATAAGAATTAAAAATAGAAGTGTGTAAAAATAAATCTCTCGCAATTTGTTTTACAAAGTCACTTAAAAACTTTTTAACATGTAAGAGCCATATTTCGACTTTTTTACAAATACGCATAGACATAAATATTAATTGTGCATTAGTAGAAGTCGCATAAACTTTTTTGTGCATGTTAGTATTTGTCAAGCTTGTTTACAGTCTAATTTATATTTTAATTTTTATAGTACAATTTATTTATATTTATCTATTTTAAGTGTAGTGAGGTAGTTGGTACATCCACACATGCATGTCAACTATCTATTCGCTCTTGGGATAAGTAAAAATAGTAAAAATTATTTCAGTTTAGTTTGAAATAAATAAAAAAATATATATACTTAAAAATATATTATATACGTATTTCAAATTCATATTATGTAAGACGTACAAAATTATTGTAGATTGTGTAAGGTAAAATAAAATATATTATAAATAATATTTAAAAAATATTATAAGAATTAAATTATTATTTAATATAACTTTTATATTTTTGATTATATATTATTACAAATTTCATAAAAATAAAAAGTTTTTAAAATACATTAGTTTCAGAAATAAGTTATGAAATACTAAAACAATATATATATATACAAACATACTAATGTTTTAACTATGTATATCAAAAATATTATATCCGTACATATGTGCATATCAACCACCTAGTAAGCCCGTTATTAGATAAGTGGAGTCGAGTTATGAATTTTTTTTTTTTCATTTTATATATGGCCGTAACATTTATTAACGTAATACACACTAATACATAAATTACATATGTAGCAGAGTAATTTGAAGCAAAAGTGGGAGAATCTGAGGAAGGTTCTCGTATTATTCCATTCGGGAAAGGGACAAATCTAGTGGGTACTGCAAGTTGCCCAACTTGCAGAAGGGAATTTCTCTTTTTTTTTGATTGGACAATAAAAATATAACAAAAAAGTTGAAAATCAAAGGATCCAGACTTTAATGATGGTGAGCCAATTAGAAGATAGAATTTTTGTAGCACCAGGACTTTAGTGATTAACATCAAACTTCTTTTGTTTAATTATGAGAATGGGGAACCTAAAGTTTGAAAATCCTTATATCATCATCTCTGAGGTTGGTAATCTGTTATAACTTATAAATACTTGGTATTTTGAATATATACTCAAACCATTACATACATTTAACAAAAATTAATCGATATTATATGATCAATGATGACTTATAAGATAAATGTTGTTGATCTAGGCATATAATTTATAACGCCATTAGTGTATCATTATCTGGGTTTAAATTCGATATAGTAGATGTTGCTAACAAAAAACACATATATTGTTCTAAGTTCTAACAAACAAAATATAAAATGTTTTTTTTTTCGTATAAAAAAGGTTGTATGGTTGAATTTGGATAGTCTAGTAGTCGTTTGTCATCAAGCTTTCTAGACGTTTTGTAGAATCAATAAGATTATTTTGTCAGTTTCTAAAATAAATTGTCTTATATATATTACCTGGTATACTGTTGATGATTCTCGTATCTATCATTTTGTTTTTTAGTTTTTGTTACGTACTTGCGTTGTCATCTGGAAAATAAAAGCACTCTATTCATAGTAATTACTATTCTAGTATCTTACACAAATTGGTTGTTATATTGACCGCGTATTTGCATGAATGAATTTTAGTAATATTTTCACTGTGGCATATAATTTGAGTTCAAATATATATGCACGTGTGAATAATTGTATAGGACAGAAAAATATGTCTATTACGTCTACAAAGTATACAGTTTAACTGTTGGTCATTAGAAGAATGAATAATAGGAATGAAAAAAAAGGAATGAAAAGTAATAAAATAGTAGAATTGAATGGAAAAAAAATATATGAAAGGAATTTTTTTTTTTTTCTCCCTAAATTTGATTTACATAACTAAAGTAAAGACATACATGTATTTGTCATTATATATAGATCGTGACTCGTACATCTTACGAGCTAATAATAAAACCAACAATTATATACAAAAACTAACTTTTAAAACCACCAGTGTATAGATGTTTTTCAATATATATAACGAAATGAGCATTTTTTTTCTTGCTATTATAACACGTTACATTGCGCTTGTGCTTACAAGTTGCAACGTTTTATCCATTAATTAACTAAAATATGATCAATACACTACTGTTATTAAGCTATTAATTCCTCCACAATGGACTGAGCAACGGGAAGAAAAAGCCTGGCGACGGCGGAGGTAGCGGTTCACTACCACCTAAAAACCGCGGTGAGAACGCGAAATTGGGTGATAACAACGGAAAGGGGGATCTCGGCGGCGGCGACATAGCAAATTGTGAGGCCGGCGACTGGAATAGCAGTGGACTAGGACCGGTTTGATGAGAAGGAAATAAACCGGTTGATGGTTGAACTGGATTTTGGTTCTGTTGCTGAGGTCGGTTTCCAACAGGGCTTGATTCGATCAGGTAACGCATATAAGCCGAGATTGGTGATTCTACCGGATTGACCGAATATTGGTTGACAGGCTGAGCTGGTTCAGAGACAGTTGGATTCGATTGAACCGGAGGTGGAGGTGGAGGGCGGTTGACTTGAGTCAGAGGAGCCGGTCTAACTTTAACCAATCTTGAATTTGGAGGTTTTGGTGGGTGTGTGTTTGTTGACTGGGGAGGATTGACTGAAGAAGTTGAACCAAGTCCGGTTAACTGCTGAACAATGGATCTGAAATCGGTTTTGTTGATGTTATAAACCAAAGCTTGAGGATTTTGTTGTTGGTTTTGCTGGGTCGATGGTTCTTTACGGATGTTTTTCCCCATCTTATTCACACCTAGATGATGGTGATGATGATTATCATTATTAAGATGATCATTAACACGATTTCTCTGATCATCCATTGTTAAACCTGAAACCAAAGAAAAAAAAAATCCAAACAGAATTATTGGTAAGAAATTAAAGAGAAACCACAAAGCCTTTGTAACTTTTAGGTAATCACAGTTTTTGGAAACTGATTTGAACAAAGAAATTCTCTAAAACAAGAGGAATAAACCCTTTTAACGAAAAAGAGAGCTTACACGCGTTTTCTGATTTTGACCGGAGAAATGAAGATTGGAATAGAAGAAGAAGAAGAAGAAGAAGAGGGGAAGAGGAACAAAACAAGAGGCTTTAAAGATACGACTTTTTTGACTATCTTGCTCTCATCCCACCATATATTTCTTTTTTTTTTTATTTAAATTAACTTTTTAATCCTAATCTAAAACTATATAGTTTCTTATAGTTATCCAACCACCAACAAGTGGATTAGCTATATAAACAAGTTGAGGACTAAATGACTAATGTTAATGATATCACCAAAGTTGTTATATATTTAGTCATACTTGAGACTACAAGATTTCAAAACAATTACGTACGTGACAGTTTGTAGTAGGTGTTTAATGTTTAATACTATATTTTAGTATCATTCAAGTTTTTACAGTTATAGAAATTAGTGATTGACTGAGATAGTAAATACGGTCGAAAGTATTGATAGTAAATTTGTTATAACGAGTTCATTTGTTCTCAGCAGCAAACCATATACGCAAGTTATCAAAATTTATTTTCCGATTATGACAATACGCCATAATCATATACGCAATATTTTTTCCGAAAGTACGGATCGCGAAAGTTAGGCCCAATTGTAATAATGATTTTCTTGACTTTTAAGTCGAGAGTCATAGAGAATTAGAGATAAGTTTGTTGTTTTCGTTTGGTTTCATTTTGTTGGTTTGTTGATTGATAATTACAAATGATATGGATGATTTCTGGCGTATACGAAAAAAAACTCAAAACAACTTCGAAATTATTTGGTTTCCTCAAATTTGTCAAGAGTTGAATTCGGAATTTCGGATAATGACATATCACGTACTTCTAACACAAATCATTAAACTACGTACATGACAGCAATCATATAGAAGATTTACATTCGAAGAAACAAAAAGGACATAAAAATATAATATTCAAAGAGAGTACAAATGTGGTAGATATAAATAAAAACGCTGTTTATATAATCACGAATCTGAATTCGGAACTATATGTATCCAACTTTATTTCTCTTTGAATTGATGATATAATTTCATCTTTAAAATTCATATAAAAATCTCAGACTCATGATCAATCATATGTTACAATTCCTCTTCTCTTCTAACAATCCTTGATCTCTCAAATTCTCAAAACTCCAATTCCTTCTCATTCCGCTGCTCCTCGCAAGCCTTGGTTGTTCGGGTCGGATCGGTCCATTGCTAGGGCTAGAACCAACCGGACCACTTAGCCTAATGTGATGAATCTTTTTCACCTTCTTCATTTTCTGTGCTAAAGACGATCCTGGCCGTCCAATCTTCTCATATATCCTAGGGCTCAAATTTCCTGACCAATTTCTCCCACCAACAGGTTCTGCAAAATGTGTTTTACCTAGAACTTTGTTAATCTCGACCGTTGGTGGTCCAGGACCGGAGAGATCAAACTCTTTGTTGGAATCTGTACGTGGAAGAGCTTGACATGATAAACAATTTAGGCTCATAGCTTTTTGCGATCTCCTTACAACAATGGAGATCGGTAATGAGAAAGAGAGATCAAGAAGAAGAAAGAAAGAGAGACGAAGAAAAAACGAAAGAGAGAGAGCTTTGTTTTATTTGGTTAGTAATTTTATTTTAGTTAAGACTAACAAAAACTAGTCTAATTTTGGCGGAAAATGTATATTTGTAAATTCGAGTTTCCGGTGACGTACGTTTTGTGTAAGTAGGTACATCGTCTCACACGTTAATTAGCAACTGTTTTAACTTATTGAAATGAGAAAGTTCTGCCTTCGGTGGTGAGTTAATTAAAGACAAATTTTGTAAAAAACTAGAAGATATTCGACGTCCGGGTATGTTACATATTATTTACTTTAAAAAATGGCAGTTATTAAAAAAGTACTAGTGTTTTGTTCAGGCTGAGTGGATTATATAGTTATTTTGTGTGTATATATATTATTATTTTTAATAAAAACATTCAATTTTTTTAAATATTATTTTCATATATTTTAAACAACAAAGCTTGTATTGATTTTCGAAAATGGTTTATACTATAGTCTAATAATATCATTTCCCAATATCATTTGGTGTTTGAGTTTTTTTTATTATGATCTAAGGATAAATTATAGAATAGTATATTTGCAAAGATGATCAACAACATGTTCAACAACATTGCAAATGTTTTCACTTTCTATTAACAACATGTTCCTCCATCTCCGTATGGTTTATAATGGCTTCACAAAGTAATGTTGAACATGAAGGTCTTTAAAGTTTTTTGTGATGTTTGAAGTCTGGCTTTCATTGCCCTTTTAGCCAGCTCTGTTTATGAGCAATAAAATGTTGTCGCAAGCTTATGGAAACCTGCGAGAAGGTAGAAGCATCAGTTCTTTTCTCATTCCAAAAAACATTTTTTTCTGTATTATTGATCTAAAGATTGATATCAATGAGAGAAACATGAACAAGAAGTAGCAAGGTGAGGCTTGTCGTTTCTGCCAAACACTAACCGGGAGAAAAAAAAAAAAACACAAAGCAAATCAAGTAAGTTTTAAGAAACACTAATCTTGGTGAAATCCATGGATGCTCTTGCTTCACTGCCCCCAAATAGCTTCTTCTAATCGTCACAATTACACAAGTCAATAATAAAGCAAGATGATAATATACAAAACGAAAAAGTTGAATCACCAATTTAGTTTCTTTTCAAAACGGTATATGGTATTTAGTACTACGTAGTACTTAATATGGTATTTTATGAAATCCGGTTATCCTAAATACCGAATGTCGTTACGTTAGTAACACTAATACATACATAATTTGTTTTAAAATTCCGTATATTTTAATGAACTATAAATTAGTCTTTACTAATGTATAATACATACACAAGTGAACACATAGAGGATATACTCAAAACATAAGTATATAAGTATAAGACAGACACTAAAAAGTAAAAAGATCTTATCCATAACTTTGAACTTTCAACTACCTGCTTTAAGTATATGTTTTTATTGTTGTGATATATATAATTATATATAAAAAACATATACAAATACATGACACATGTTTCCACATTTTATGCACTGTAAACAGTTTCAGCATATCCCCTCAAAAAAGATAAGAGCACCATCCCTGGACCAAAACTCATTTAACACCGCTAATTTCCCTTTTGCCATTTTTTGTTTTTGTTACGTTACAATTCATATATCTTGAACCTTTATGGCATACAAACTAACCCAAAAGTTTTGCCAACATAGTGAAAAGTGATTTCTAAATACACAAATTTTCATTCATAGAACCCAAAAACCTTAATAGATTTGATCTCACTTACTCCATACATATATACATATACAAGTACAATTAACCAAAGATTTATTATTTTACTAACTCTCTGGTCTCAAACTTCGATCTTCGCTTAAAGGCTTATGAAAAACACTAAAACTAAGAACTAAACAAGTTCTCCTAATGAACAACAACAACACGAAGCTAGCGATACAAAATGCGTAATAACTAATTTACAAAGAGATCAACTTTTCGAAAAGATCAGACATTACCCGCCTAATTTCGATCCCATTAACATTTAAGTTTCATCTCTTTTCTTCAATTGTCTTCTCCGACTTTCGACATCAAAGCAACCTTGAGCTGGTCATGATTGAAAAACTGGCTTCCCATCTTCACAGTGGCTTGTTGAATCATCAAATCATTCACCACTGACAAACTTGCGTGATTCACTTCCAGATCCAATTCCTTGAGCGCTTCCATGAATCTTGCCCCGGGATGATTCTTCTTGCTGCATTGTACACGTATCATCACATCCCAACCTATGATCTTCACGTCGATCTCCATTTCTATCGAGCTAGCCGAATCTTGATTCGAGCATTTTCGTTCTTTCGCCTTCGTTCCGCCGCCGCCTTCCCTGTTTCCTTCCTTGCTCATCCCGTCGAGCTGCTTCTGAATCTCTTCCTTATCGGATTCCGCTTGCTGCAGCTTCGATTTAAGCTCGTTGATATACGAAATGGCGTCTCCGAGAAGAGACGCTTTGTCCATTTTCGAAACGTTGGGAACCACAGCTCTCAAAGAGTAGAATCTCTGGTTTAGCTTCTCCCTTCTCTGTCTCTCTGCTTCCACGTGATTCAACGGCTCCTCTCTTCCGTTCGCCGGTTTTCTTCCCCGTTTCCTCGGTTTCTTCTCCGGTTCAACGACAATTGCTTCCTTAACCACCGACGCTTCGAGATCGGAATGATCCGAATCGACGGATTTCGCCGCGGAACGAACCACGGTGCTGAAAGAAAGCATCCCTTCGTCGTTGTTACTCCCTTTCGAAACCGGAGACCTCCTCTTGTTGCTCTCCTCCGCCGTAAAGCTCAGTGTTTCGTTCGATTTCATCATCCGCGACGACCCATCTTGAAAGTTCCCGTTTTGATTCAACCCAGAACTCGAGAAATTCAAATCTCGCTCTACAAGCGACGGATTTTGTTGTTGTCTAGGGTTTTCAATCGAGCTCTCGTTCTTCTCGAGCTTGGAGATTTGATGAGAATCGGATTTTGAATTTGAATTGGAATTACTGTTGTTTATCGCCGGGATTACCTGACCCGATTCGATTCCGGTGGTGGTCGGTTCGCTTATCCACAAAGCCGGATCGTTCTCTCCTTGATCCGGATTCAGATTAAACCCCCAAGAAGAAGCTTCTCCATTACCGTTGTTGGAATTGAACAGACTGTTGACTTTATCCATCAGATCTGAGCTATGGCTTAACACCTCCGATGAACCAAGCTCAACGACGCCGTTCTCCGCCGCGATACACACCATCGTCTGTAACCCGTATATCTGACCTTGACCCGCTCGTTCGCAACCCGACCCGATTAAAGCACCCGGCCCGGATAACCAAATCACGCGAGAGTTCAAGTACGACTCCCCGGGAAGCCCAACGCCGTTCATGAAGCTCTGTGTCATCGAGACCAAGAAGAACCACTCAGTATCGGTGACTTCTTCGTCGTTCGATTCATCGGAAACTCCGGTTCCGCCGGAGATCAACGAATTCAGCTCACGGATTACTCTTTTCCGATGCTCTTGCTCCGCCGAATTCGAACTTGAGCTATTCTTCTTCTTCTCTTTATCTTCCTCCCCTTTGTAGTACCCATCTCCCCATCCGAGAATCACTGTGTTGTCTCCGGTGGAAGAATCGAAATCGTGTGAGATCTGCCAGAAAATCGCGTAGGTCCAGCCTTCTCCTGCTGATTCGATCAAAGCTTGGAGACGTTGTTGAAGAGTGTCTTCGTTGAATTGAGATAGTGGAGGAGGAGGAGGAAGAGATGGTTGGGGCCAGAGAGTTGAGTGATTTGTTCCGATGAAAGCTTCCATCGCCGCCGACGCGTTATCGTCGGTGGCTGTTGACTGGTTGAGGAAGTAGTCGTTCATGTGAGCCTCCGGGGGGAGAGAAAAGGAGGAACTTTTTCCGGTGAAAATTGAAGACTTTTCCGGTTTGGAGAGAGAGAGAGAGAGAGAGGTGACGTGTTGGAGAAAAAAATCAAAAGAGGAAAAGCTAAGCAAATGGCGTTTAGTGATTGTTTGGAGCGGATTCTGTAGTCTGTACTATATTGTTTTAATATTTGTTTTTTAAATGTAAATAATTGTTTTTGATGAAACAATAAGTTCCTAATTTGAGAGTTGTATTTTTTATATGACAAAAACGAAACTATAAAATAATAATACTAGTAAAATGTTTAGTTAGCAGCAGTAACGAAAACGTAAATATTTACGATTTGATATTTATGGGCCAACATTGTTTATATATAAACTTTCGGTTGGACCACTGTTTTGTTTTGTCCTCCAAACGTTAAAATACGTTTATGATGAAAGAATAGTATTATTTTTTCCTGTGGAAAAATAAATATTTAAAAATTGTGATCCAAAAATAATTGTATGCAAAACCATATATTATAAATAAATTGAAATAGTCATTTAAATTGATAATTCACCCAACAATGTTTGATTTGAGATTTTACAATTTTTATACCTTGATTTTTTTGGTGATCACTGATCTCAAAGGCGACAAAAACATTCTACTATTTCTCAAATTTTGTGGTCTGAAATTCTTTTAAAAGTTATTAATTGATGAAAATGATATATCTCTCGATAAAAAAAAATAAAGTTATATTGGAACTGACTTGTGTAGCCCACTTTAATTGTTTGGGTCCTGACTAGGCCTAGTCCTGTCTGCCTTTCATGATTTTCCCACGAATACTGACATTTTTGTTTATTAAAAAAAATCTTGATGATTTTGTCATATTCTTTTTCAAAAATCATGATAATTTTTTCAACCCCCATTTTCTTTTTCAAAACAGTTTTAATGTTTTACCGTTTTTTAATTTTTTGTCGAATTGTTTTACCGTTTTGCGTAAAATTGCATGACCAACCAAAATGTTATTTATCAAATTTACACATGATATTGACAAAAGGTTTTTTACAACACATGATATTGACAACCATGAATAAAAATATGATATCCACGAAAAAAGAAAAAATAAAGTATTCAATTGAAAAGGACAATATGAAACCCAATATGAATTGGTTAATCACGATGGCTAAAATGCTCCACTTCACGTGTTTCTCGTGAATGATGTAACTTACAACGAACTTTAGATCCACTAATCATAAACTAACACCATATGATTATAGTCATACCAAAGGAATTAAAAAAACTTTTTAGTACTTGCGTTTGCTAAGCTATTTTCTTTAAAGTAAAAGAATGATTTAGAATAGGCTTTTTTACTATTGGGCCAGAAAAAAAAACCCATTGGAGAATATTGATCTGTTAGACAACAACTCACAAACGTAAATTAAAGAAAACAAAGGAAAACTTGACCAAAAAAAAAAAGAAAACAAAGGAAAAAAAAAAACCGAAAATAGCATAGTTTGATTCATCCGTCGCTACTTTTTTTTCTAGATTTCCCAGATTTTGGGTACCTTCCTTTCATCTGTAAAATCTCCATAGTTCTTAAGATTTGTAGTCGAAGATGGCGACTGAGAATCACACCGATAAGAATGTCGTTTTCAGAAAACTAAAAGCAAAATCCGAGAATAAGGTTACGTTTCTTAATTTCCTGAGTTTTTGGTTTAATCGAAGATTTGACATTTGAAGTGTGTGTGTGTGATTTCGATCAGATCTGGAGCTAATTCGACCTAATCTCCGTCTGATTTCCCCGATTTTGTTTTAGGTGTGCTTCGATTGTAGTGCGAAGAATCCAACATGGGCTTCGGTTACTTACGGTGTCTTTCTCTGCATCGATTGCTCAGCTGTTCATCGAAGTCTCGGTGTTCATATTAGCTTCGTGAGGTAAACTTTTGATTCTGAGGAACTCAAGTTTCTGCGTTTAATTGAACTCTCTAGGCTTCAAAAACTGTACCTGGCTAGAGTTTAAGCTGTGATTATTCAACTTGTACAGGACGATGTTGACTTTTTTCTCTTTGACCATCCTATTTATAGCATTTTCAGTTTGTTGTAGATATTTTGGTTGACTATAAGATCATAATCCCGATTCTAATGCTAGGGACCTTTGTTCAGTGTTTTCTTGAGATCAGTTTGATGCATACTCTCAGGTGTTTAGCTCTAAGTTTTCTTTGATCTCTGCAGATCGACGAACTTGGATTCATGGAGTCCTGAGCAGCTAAGAACAATGATGTTCGGTGGGAACAACCGAGCTCAGGTGTTTTTCAAGCAGCATGGATGGAACGACGGCGGCAAAATCGATGCTAAGTACACTTCCAGAGCTGCTGATTTATATAGACAGACTCTTGTTAAGGAAGTAGCTAAAGCCATGGCGGAAGAAACCAGTGTAGCATCGTCGTCATCCTCTGTTGCTACTTCTCAGCCACCGGAATCATCGAAGAACAACGGGTTTTCTTCTGAGCCTCCAACGAAAGAGAGTTCTCCGGTTAACCAAGAAGCAAGTGGTGTCTCTTCTTCTTCACCAAAAGCTTCTCAGAAAGTTGTGGCTAGTACGTTTAAGAAACCTCTTGTTCCGAGAAAGACAGGGAAGACTAGTGGTCTTGGTGCTCGTAAGATTACTACTAAGGTAAAGATTCGGTTTTTTTTTTTTAAATTAAGAATTGAAGCGTGACTCTCTTCTGTTGGTTTGGATTATATTAGTCTCTGTTGTTATGCAGCCAAAAGAAAACCTCTATGAGCAGAAGCCGGAAGAGCCTGTACCGGTGATTCCTGCTGCTTCTTCGACGAACAACACATCATCATCAGCTGGCTCATCATACGCCTCTCGGTTTGAGTACTTCGATGAGGAGAAATCCGGTGGGCAAAGTGGCGCACGAGTGCTTAGCCATGTCGCTCCACCAAAGTCATCGAATTTCTTTGATGAATATGGAATGGACAGTGGTTTCACCAAGAAATCAAGCTCAAGATCATCCAAAGTTCAAGTAAAGAATGTTGCAATTTGTAAACAGAACACAAGACAGAGAGAGAGATTTCATAATTTTACTAACTGTTTCTATTACTTAGGTTGAAGAAACAGATGAAGCAAGAAAGAAGTTTTCAAACGCGAAATCCATCTCCTCTGCTCAGTTTTTCGGGAATCAGAACAGAGATGCGGATATGGAATCAAAGGCTACACTTCAGAAGTTCTCGGTATTTGTCCCAAACCAAATCAAACTCTGTATTAGATTCTCTCTCAAGTGGTCTCGTTGTTTGTTCATACCTAATGCGATTGCAAAACTAAACAGGGCTCAGCAGCTATTTCAAGTTCTGATCTTTTTGGACACGGACAAGATGATTCCAACATCGATATCACTGCGAGCGATCTCATGAACCGAATATCTTTCCAGGTAAATTTATTAGTACTAAAGTCAAATTTTTGTTCATAACCCTCCTATTCTTGATCTGACTTTTTTTTTTGTTTTCTCATCACAAGGCGGAGCAAGATATGTCATCTCTTGTGAACATAGCTGAAGAAACGACGAAGAGGATCGGTAATATGGCTTCTAGTATATTCAGCGATCTTCAGGACAGAATGCTATAAGAAACATACAAAAGATCTTCGCCTTTTGGTTTACGGAGAGAACGCATTGTCGGATCTAAAAGAAGAAAGGAAACACTTTGTTTTGTTTTTTTTATTGTTCTGTTGCAATCTAACAAAGTATAATAACAAAACTATTATTTGACAATTTCAAGTTTCATCATTATTAAAAGATATAAAACTGTATAAAATTCCTAATGGTACTGTTGCCGAGAATGCTGCTCACCACGGGTGCTTTTTTAGCCAAGTCTGGTCGGTATAAGGAGTCGCAGCGACTCATGTTCCCAAGCAACGATCCCTTCCTATTTCCCTCCGGATCCGACCAAAACCTCATCGGAAAATTGTCGCAAGTCACCGACAATAACCCATTATTGAGATTACCAGTTTTGCGTCCACCAGTCTTCCACACGTGGGCGAAAAGTTTCATCCGGGAGTCCCTGTAGACGACGTCGCCGCTGCCGCCGTTTAGCTTGTCCACCACCGTCGTCGCGAACCCTTCGTCTGCAGGGAGGTTCTGGAAACTATCCTTGGCTAGCGACTCCGCAATAACCATGTCGCCGAGCAGGAAACGGCTGTAGAGTGGGGTGATAGAGATACGGCAGTTCTTGACGTAGCTCCTCGCCGCCATGGAGACATTCCAACCTCTTGCGGAGACCGAGACGGAGTCGACGAAGAGCTCGAGGTAACACGGTTGAGAAGTGAAGACCATTATATGAATGCAAACTGTGAATAGTAGCAGAAAAGCTACGTAAGTTCGGCAAGAAACTTCATCTTCACGACCAGACGACGTCGACATTTTTTTAGATAGGGAAGTAAAGTTCGTCAGATTTGATAAGCTACGTAAGGTTTATGGTTTGGTTCCGTAATTATATAGCAAAGCTAAGGCACAAAAAATGGAAACGTAAACTATTTTGGGAAAAATTGCTTGTTTTGTCATATGACCAACAGAGAGGAATATTACCATATTGAATAAAATGAAAATCCACGGTCTAATACTCGTGATGTACTTATAAGTTATAACATATGCCGTAAGCAAATATTAAAGGTTTCCATTATGAAGTTAGTGCATACGTCTACATTGCAAAATTCTTTTTAACTATCTTAAGGAGAAAAACAAAAATAAACAACATCAAAATGAGAACTTTTTTTTTTTTTGACGACCATCAAAAGGAGAACTTGATAGAGAGGGGAACATTCATAACATATAAACATGCAATCTGTTTATAATCATGTTCAAATTTCAACCTACAAGATTATTACCATTTGTTTAGGGCATAAAATAAGTAGACAGTATCTGCTGAATCAATTAAAAAGATTAGAGGAATTAAGATTACAAAGTTGGTCTAACATTACGACGCCGCAATTTGCATTTAAAAAACACAACAAAAATGATCAGTGAAAAAGATAAATTTGATTCTGACGTACTGTGGCAGCGCCATCGAAATAATGAGCAAATAATTTTTATTTATTTTTATAATAAATAGAAGTACTTATCAGAAAATTCCAATCATGATAATAATAATCTCCATAGAGATTTTCTGATAAGTGTTTCTATTCGTTATAAACCCGAGTTAATTTGTAAGAGTTAAATGACAACACTTACATAATAGTATAGTAGAATTAAAAATATATAAGAAGAGGAATTAATTGATTTGATAAAGATAAAAGAAATAAAGCAATATTAAAAGATCAATGAATTAATCAATTTAACTACAATAAACGAATTTCCTTTCCTTCTGGAATTTGTTCTTTTGGAATCAAATTATAAATCTGGTTTCGTCAATGTAAAACTTGTTTTAAAAAGGAAATATAAATATAGAGGTCAAAGGGGTCTCAAAGTACCAATGCGAAAACACTTAACCTCGTCAATCTATATATATATATATTCGTAAACAAATCCAACTTTTATTAATCGAGTTTACAGTTTACTCATGAAAAAAAATAAAGTAAAAAACCCTAAAAAAAATGGCGGCATGATTTTCCCTCCTTTTTCAAACCCTTCATGGGACTCAATTTCAGCTTCCCTCCAAATCGATCCGCTCAATTCCAAAATCGTTCCCCTTTTGGGAATCCTGCTCTTGAATTTCGAAATTTTCATAAACTTTTGGAGCCAAATTCGAAAATTTCTCCACCCATTACTTACAGATCGATCTACGAGAGGTATTCTCCTCCTCTTGAATCTAAACCCTAGCTTCTTCTTCCCCTCTCTGCTCTCCTTCTTCAGCAAATTCCATTTGGGTTCGTTGCCGGAGACGTTGCTAATGGCGGATATTTTCGATTCTTATGACTCTGATCCACCGCCGTCGCCTAAAATCGAAAACCCAGTCGAAACCCTAGACGAGTCTTCACCTACCGCGCCGATTCGAGCTCTTGCTAACTCGCTCGCTCTTTCCTCACCGATTCGCCAGATTCAGAATCAGGCTTCCCCCCCGGCGAAATCCTCACCCCAGATTCAGAACCCAGACGAATATTCCTCTTCCCCGCCGGATAAAACCCTAGTCGCGCCTCCTCCAGTAGACGAAGAGGAAGACGAGGAGTTCAGAGATTCACAATCTCAGATTTCGCCTGACGACAGCAAAATTCTCCAAATCGCGAGCACCTCGTACTCCCTCGACGCCAACATAGGCCCGTGTAATCGCCCACCGAGGAGATACACAGCGGATTCTAACTATCAAAGCGACGATGATCTGAAGATGGAGCCGGAAAAATCTATGGATTTCTCATGGTCGTCTCAGAAGAATGAACCCACCGGCGTTGTATGTGCTCCTTCTTCCTCCTTAAATCTAGTTTTCGATTTTTTTGGTATCATTTTGTAGATTTCATCGTTTTGATTGTTTAAAGCGATTTTTCTTCAGGGTGCTGGATTAGATAACTCCGGCAACACTTGTTTCATAGCTTCGGTGTTACAGTGCTTCACTCACACTGTGCCTCTCATCGATAGCCTTCGCTCATACAAATACCAAAACCCTTGCAACTGTAAGACTAATTTGCTTTAGGCTGTTGTTTTAGCCTGTGCCTTTGTTTATTTTACAGTCTTAAATCTTATTATAGCTCCTTTGGATTTTCATTTTTGCAGGTGGAAATGAAGTGTTCTGTGTTCTTCATTCTCTCCGAGAACATATCGAATCTGCTCTGAGGTATTCAGGATATGATTTAAGGATCGACCGGTTTCGCGATAACATAAATTGTATGTTTCTTAAACACTTTGGTTTCATTTTTTCATAGCTTTGTGTTTAAGATTTTCTTTATATGAATTGGTTTTTTTAATTCACTGTAGATTTCTCACCTGACTTCCAAATTAACAATCAAGAAGATGCGCATGAGTTTCTTCAGTCGTTTTTGGATAAGTTAGAGAGATGCTGCTTGGATCGTAGAATTAAGCCTGGCTCAGACTCTTCTCAAGATAACATTGTTGACCATGTCTTTGGTGGGCGTCTTGTTAGTAAGGTAACAAAAGCTGGTCCATTTACGATATACTATTAGTCTAGGTGTTGTTTTGAAGCAGTTTATATGATTCTTATATGTTTTTATATATTACTTTTCAGCTTCATTGTTGCAACTGCGATTCCTTTTCCGAAACATTTGAGCCTTCCATTGGATTGAGTCTCGAAATCGAGGATGTGGATACACTTAATAGTGCGCTAGAGTCCTTTACTCGAGTCGAGAAACTCGAGGACCAGTTAACGTGTGATGACTGTAAGGAGAAAGTGTCCAAGGAGAAGCAGCTTACGCTTGATAACTTACCTCTGGTTGCTTCTTTCCATCTAAAGAGATTTAAGAATGATGGGCTTTTTATGGAGAAGATATTCAAGCATGTAGAGTTCCCTTTGGAGTTGGATTTGCTCCCTTACATGAGCAGTAACGAAAATCCTGAAGTAAGTGAAATCTTACAGGCATTTTTGGTTATGTGAATCTGAAGATTTTTCAAGTCTTAACCATCCGGTTCTGTTCTTGTTCTGTGTACTCAGGTTTCCACAAAATACCACCTTTATGCTATGGTGGAACATCTTGGGAGTGGAGTGTCTTTTGGTCATTACTCAGCGTATGTGAGATCAGCTCCCGAGACATGGCATCATTTTGATGATGCAAAGGTATTATAAGACTATCAATAATTTCATTCTACTTGTGTGGTTTGCTTCTTTGTAGGCTTCTCTGAATGGTTCCGTTTCATCTGTGTGGATTAGTTCTTTGTAGGCTTCTCTGAATGGTTTCAATAATTGCAATTTTTCCTTTGGCAGGTCAGAAAAATCAGCGAAGAATTTGTTCTATCTAAGCATGCGTATCTGTTATTTTACGCTAGAGAAGGAACTCCTTGGTTTTCTACTGCTTTCGAAGAGCTGAAGACACTATTTGAAGCTACTCCGTCAAATTTCTCGCCAAAGTCAGTGCTTGAGACTACCTGCAGAGAGGAGTGTGTCTCCGATCACAGTTACCAGAACGTCGGTAATTCGAACAAAACCTGTGATGGCTCGGCGGGTGTATCGACCCCGGGTGGGAATTACTCGGAGTTCCGTTGTGATGAGCCGCAAGAAGATGTGTTTCATTCAGCTGAGTGTAGCAGTGATAACGAATCCTTGGGGTATGATGATTTCGAGTCACCTAAAGGTTATGGATTTGAGGAACCATTTGGTGAGACCTCTCACCAAGAAGAAACTAATGCGTATCCATCTGGCGACAGAGCTACAGTCGATGATGATGACGCTTCTGTGCCTGTGGTCAAGATTCAAGAGAATGTCCCGTCTCCAAAACGAAAAGGTACTATCTTTTACTATGTGTTTTTGGTTACTTACCTATGGAGTATATACTAAGAGATATAGGAGGTTCCGTTAGATTCAAAACAAGTATTCTCCTTTGATAATTCTTTGAGTCAGTGGTTACAGGAAGAATCGATGATTGAAAACTGAAATAAAACCTATGTTAAGGCATAAAGGAAAACTGATATTAAGGCTTTTGTTCTTCTTGTATTGTGTGATTCTATGTACAGCTGATGAGGGAGCTACGTTTGCTGAAGTTAATCGGCCTAAGCACAAGTTTCAAAAGCCAAATTCCTTTCCTAGACGAAACGGTACTATTATACTCTACTAAGTGTTTTTGATTTCTCAGTTATAGGAAATACGAGTAAGAGATACTTAAGTTAGGATAGGAGATAGATATATTGAAAGAAACTGAGTCGGGTGTGTGCGAATGTGTAACAGGAACCTTTAAGATTCAACGTGACCATTTGCGAAAGAAGGACAGAGAAGAAGAAACTCGTGGAACAAAACTCGAGGACATAGTTGGAGCTTCTGCTGCAGATCCTAAGGATAAAGGTTATGCTCTTTCATATCTGAATAGAAGACCGTCTAACCCTCGCTCTCGGATGCTCGCTGCAGCTTTGGGTGGTCCTTTGATCAAGAAAAAGAAAATCTCTAACCTCAGAAGATCGAGTCTTCACAGGAATCTCTCTGAACCGGCTATGTAATGCAATATTTGGGTAAAATAAACAACTTATTATTGCTTTTGAAGAGATAGTTAGAGAAAATGAAAAGTTTTTCTTTTGTTTTGTTTTTTGTGCGTTTGGGGGGGGTTTCTTTGTGTATAACATCACTCTGATCAAATTTTGTTATGAAGCTCAAACCAAAAATCCAAGGTTATATATATATAACATTGCTCTATAGATTATTGCTTCTTAATTATATAACAATCAGACAATAAATATTCAATTATTTAGGAAATACAAACTTTAATAATGGATGCAAAATGTAACAAATAGGCGTATTAATTTGTATACCCTTCACAAAATCATCTTTATTTTTCAGCCTTTTTTTGGTTGATTTTAAGTTGGTTTCTTCATGGGGCATAGCCTCCACCACCGTGGCCACCGCCTGAACCACCACCACCACCGTAAGCACCTCCATGTGCACCACCACCACCGCCTCCACCTGAACCTCCTCCACCACCCCCACCATATCCTCCTGCTGCACCACCATAACCACCACCTTCACCAGCACCACCTCCATAACCACCTCCATGTGCTCCTCCATCACCGTAAGCTCCTCCTCCTCCACTTCCTCCACCGGCACCGCCTCCATATCCTCCGGCTCCTGACCCACCTCCAGCTCCTCCTCCTTCACCGCCTCCGTAAGCACCACCACCATGAGACCCTCCACCTGCTGCTCCTCCACCACCTCCATGGCCACCTCCTCCTCCAGCTGCTCCTCCATACTCACCTCCACCCGCGCCGCCACCTTCACCAGCTCCGCCTCCATAACCACTAGCATGATCTCCTCCACCACCGTAAGCACTTCCGCCACCACCACCACTACCTCCACCGCCGCCACCAGCATGACCACCATACCCATCAGTTGCCCCACCGTAACCACCGCCTCCTCCTTCTCCTCCTCCACTAGCATATCCACCGGAGGAAGCAGCTCCACCACCGCCTCCACCATGACCACCACCACCACCAGCATGGCCACCATATCCACCAGCTGCTCCACCGTAACCTTCACCAGCTCCTTCTCCTCCTCCACTAGCATACCCACCGGAAGAAGCAGCTCCACCACCGCCTCCACCATGACCACCACCACCACCAGCATGACCACCATATCCACCAGTTGCTCCACCGTAACCGCCACCAGCTCCTTCTCCTCCTCCACTAGCATATCCACCGGATGAAGCAGCTGCACCACCGCCTCCACCGTGACCGCCACCACCACCACCAGCATAACCTTCAGCACCTCCATATCCACCACCAGCTCCTTCTCCACTTCCACCACCATAACCACCACCACTCACTCCTCCATACCCTTCACCACCACCATGTCCTCCTCCACCGCCACCACCGTGACCAGCAGGTACTTCGCTGTAGGATAAGAGATTCCGGCTAGTGGCGTAGCAAATTGCAACGCCGAGTATAAGAAAAAAGACAGTTGAGAGAGCTTTGAGAGAAACCATTGTTTTGGTAGTAGTGAGACTTGAATTTGATGAACTAAAATGAAAGGCTCAATGAGGTATTTATAGTAATCGGGGTTTTGTATCTTAAGCCGCGTCCACTGTAAAAAGAGTTGTTGAATCACATGCCTATGACGTGAAAAGTGTAGATTTACTGTCCCTACCATATTGTACTCCTAATTTTTGGTTTCATTATCGTCATTTTTCTTTAATCCAATCAACATTCTTATAACTTGACGACGTCCGGTAATTAAAGTATTTTGTCACCAGAGATAATGAAATTATGGGTGGAGGCTTGAATTTTCATGGTTATAAAACAAAAGGATGCGATTAGGATTTGTATGAATTGGGTTACTTCTATTACGGATCATGCACGAATACTCCTGCGATCACTTTCTTGAGTACTTTTATAATTTTAATAACCATTATAAATCTTCAACCGACAGAGCAATTAGTTTGGCTTTTTGGCACTCTGAAATGTATGAAGATAGAGTGTCACAGCTATACATTGTTAAAATAGATAGAAAAGTAGTTAGGACATCATTAATAATTCACAGTCTCGTAATTAAGTATTTCATTTTTGACTTCTATCCTCCATTTCTTCTAACTACGGTTTTTACCAAACCATTTATTTCCAAGCCAACCCCTCTTTTCTATATTATTTTACTTCAACCTAAACTTTTTTATATTCTTTTACTTATACCTAAACTTTTGTCTTGCGTTGTTATATTACTAAACTCTTTCTTTACATAAATATTTCACAGTTAACACATTTAACATATATATTATAGATAAATATTACACTTTTCATATATATTATAGACATAATGTATATGTGTACAGAGATATACTTGAGGTTTTTTTTATCAACGTACGTAGCCGTTTGAATAACTTTGAAGATGAACAATATACTTCAATTCTGATAAAAAAGTTTTCAAAACATGAAGTAAACTACTGAACCTAAACTCTTAATGATTGAAAAAACAGTCTAGACTCTATCTCTCTAATATACACGAAGAATGTAAAACTAATTTGGCGATTTAATCCTAAAAGACTTAAACTTAAATTTACAATTAAGCCTATATATTAGTAACCAGTCACATTAACGTGACTTACGGTGTTTAGTGTAATTCCTTTTCACCATATCCACCATTCCTCACCAAATCTTCAAACAACCCTATTGTCTCAAACCAATTTACCTTCTTTTTTTTCACTTTAAGTTTCTGCGAAGATTATCTATCTTGCACTGAGCTAGGCTCTTACTTCTTCATACATTTAGTTTCTGCTACATTTGTTAAGAACCTAAAAAATTTCTCATGAGAGTTTACTTCTAGAAAGTTGAAATCAAATCATGATTATTTTAATGCACGAAACTTTGGTACCAAAACATTTATGAATAGAAAATAAAAAAAGATTTTGGTAAGAGACTACTAACAATAAAAACACTTATTAATGCGTTTTAGCATTGCCACTAAGAAAACCTATCAGGATTTTGAGTCTTTGGTGCTGTCCAGCCAATGACCACTTCTCTACCTATTAGTATGTCGTAGGGCTATACAATGAACTATAACATACATACAAAAACAATAAATAAGTGTATACATTACGCGTTCTTAAAAACAAAAGTGTATACATTACGCACTTATCCTAAACAGCATTTTTTTTTAAAAAAAAACAGCCTCGTTAGATTTATGAAACTATATGTTTGAAATTTCAAGAATAATTGGATATAGAGTCGCTTGGAATTTAGACTAATGGAAATGATAGAAGTACATGAAAGTTATTTTAATTTCCTTGCAGTATGGCATCATAACAAAATTTACAAATAAAATCAGGCGAATTTTTTTTAAATGACCTAATATAATTCATGAATCTTGTCTGATTTGTAATTGATATTTTTTTAAAAAAATAATCTAATGTAATTATGCAATATATGCATTTACTATGAACTAATAATTTTTTTTTTTATATATATAACTTGACTAATTCGGTTGAACGGATACCATAAACTTTAAGTCATGTTGCGGGACTTTTCTCTCTAGCTGATTTCTCGGGTCAATAGACTATGAGATCCGACTAATCGTGAGGCTAAGGAATATTATGTAAAATTTCCACACGGTTGTGATTTAGTTTCGAATGAAATTTGAACCACAATTAACAAATTCCTCCCAAATCCTGTCTACCACTCGACCACGCCCGTGTGGGCAATAAAATGAATTTGTGACTATATGATCATTACAAACAGAATTTTATAGCAATTTTTAGCACGTTTGCTACGTAATGCATGATTATATTCTCTGGTAAACTAGCCAATAGTTATTCAGAAAACAATCCTGGCGTATTTACCATACTTAACAGTGTGGCACGTTGTCACTAATTGTAGCAAAAAAAATTCTAACAAATTTGACACGAACATCGCAACAAAATGTTAGTACAAAACAAGAGTTAGCTGCCGTTAACCCCCCAAATTATACATTGTCTACTTAAAACTTCTTAAACTACCGACCTCTGCATATTTACATCCAAACAATTGTTTTTCTGCCAATTCCCCCAAATTCAATTAGAAATTAAAATCGCGATCAATTTACGAAATCGCGTTTTAGGTTAGGATTACGTTTTGGGGGGGAATATGCAGAAAACAAATTATTTGAGTGGGAATATGCGAAAATGTAGTCTAGGGGGGAATATGCAGAATTTATTAAGTTCAGGGGCTCAGCACCGTTAATTTAATTTTTAAGTTTTTTAAAATATTTAACACATGATTAGTTTAATTATATCTATAATATATATTTGTGTAATAAAATAAATATATATTTTTATTAAAAGTGGTAGCAATATGACAGCACAATTAATAAACAAAACTAAAATTAGTTATTATACATACATAAACATATTATTCTATTGTTTTAAATATTTTGATTTGAAATACTAATAGAAAAAAACTATTTTTTGGGATATACTCGATATCATAGGACTTATTTACTTGACATTAAAAATCTTAACTAATGCAAGTTTATCATTCTAATGGTTCGAGTATTTTTATTATAAATCCCTGAAATAAACGAATGTGTTGTTAAATCAGGCCATTTATAACTCATAATACAGATAGGTTAGAGACTTCAGACTTAGATGTATGTACCTCTTGTGCTTAAACTAACACATATGAGTAGTGACTGGTTAAACAGAGAGTTGAAACCTCTTCTATACCATTCATGGTTCGAGTATTTTTATTTAAATTGCTAATAGGAGGATTGCATGAAATATATTTTGAGATTTACTTAACATTACAGAACTTATTTATTTGATATGATACGATTTAATTAATATAAGTTTATTATCCTATTGTTCCACGTATATTTGAAGTGTTAATAAGAGAAACTATTTTTTAAATTTACTTTACTATACACAATTGGTTTACTTTACACGTATTTTATTTGAAGTGCTAGTAAAAAAAAGTGTTATTATACAAATATATATTATGGATATAATTAAGCTAATAATGTGTTAAATATTTTGAAAAACTTA